AAATGCTCCCGAATAACTGAACATTATCACACCAACTGGAGGCATCTTGCGAACCATATCCAAGCGTGACAAACCTCTCCTTCTCTAGGCTCTGCATCTGAGAAGCGGGGGAGATGGCAGGAGTCACCTGAGATGTCACCGAGGAAGAGAAGGGAGGTTAAACTGCTCATGGTGTGTTAGAAACGGACACATGAGCGACTTAACGGAAACCACTCTAAAGTGTTCAAATGTTTCAGAGAAGAGTGGAGCTCAGGGAAGCAATGGTGGGAAGGAAGGAGCTGAGGCTGGGGAATTAAAGCAGCACAAGGGCCAGCAGAGCCAGGTGACCTTCAGCTGCTGGGCCCAGAGCTGGCTGTGGCCATCAGTGTGTCATGTGCAGTCGGTGGCAGCTTGCTGCCCCTGCCCTGCAAACCAAGGCTGATATAGGTGGCTAAAGTCACAGGAACGCAGGGGAAGAGCGCCTGGGGTCTGACTGGGAGGGGAACGCCTAGTGAAGGGGTCTAGAAGTCACTCTCCCTCCACTGACCATGGAAGATCTCTTCCCCTGTACCAGAGAAACGGTGGGATGGATTTCATGCGTGAACAACACGCAAAGACTTTATTTTGTTTAAAAATCTAGAATAGTGTTAAAATATACATCCAGTTTGCCTCCTTGATCATTTCCAGCACACAGTTGGGGGCACAAAGCGCACAGATGGGTCTGTGGGACCTGTCTCATCACCAGTCCGTGGAAACTGTTCCGAGAGACAAGCTCCTCATTCCCCCTCCTTTCCCAACCCAGGAAACCACCGGTTCACCTGCCCTCTCCCACCCCCAAGCAGAATGCAAAATGCACAGCTGCCTGTCTGCTGCTGAGCCCTTGGCGTGGGCACAGTGAACATCTGCTTTACTTCATGAAGTCTTGGGGGAGCATTAACACAGCCTGGAAAGACAGGCGTCGTTACCAATGTAAATAGATTGGCCTCAGAGAGGCTAGGGACTCTGCTCCAGGTCACAGAGCCGAGAAATGGTGGAGGCTGAATGCGAACCCAGAACTGGCTGATTCTACTGCTTGCTCCCTCACTTGCACACGCCGCCTCCTTTCCAAATTGGGAAAGTTGCCCACGCTCTTAAACAAATGCGAAGTTTTGGAATACAGCCCCCCTCTAGGTAAGAGACCTAACTAACTCACAAGACTTACTTTTTGAGGGTCATGTCCTGCCCTGAGAGGGGGGCCCCTTCCACTGGGGAGTTCCTCTTGCCACAGACATTGCCGAAGCTGTCATAGCCGAAGAGGAGTCTTCCCGCTGCTCCAGCCACCACCGAGTAGCCCATGATGAACACCTGGCAAAACCCAGGGGCATACGATGACTGCCTGGCCACAGGGAGGAAACCACAGCCCCTCACATCCCTGGAGATGCTGGTGTGAAACCCAAGCCGACAAGGGAGGAGTCATTATAGCTCCTCAGTCCCTCCTGCCCTTAGCAGCGATTCCATCCACGAAGGTAGGGTCCAGCATGGCGAACGCTGGTGTAGCCGTGAGCAGGGAGGGCGCCCTGAAACACACAGACTTTGCCCTCTTTGGCTCTTTCTTCTCTCACCTCCTCTGGTTTCTTCAAGAGGTCATCACTCTGTGAAATTTTTTTCAACCAAACTTGACTGGGATAGTTTCCATTTTATCCCTTCAGCCTGTCTGGGTTGTGGAAGTGCATCGAGACTGTGCTAATATTTTCCCGTGTATATATGTGTAGGGATGGGGATGGTTGCATGTGTGGGTGCCCATGCATGCGTGCATGCCTATGTGTGGAAGTCAGAAAACAACTTTGGCTGTTGCTCTGCAGACGGCATCCACTTTGGTCTTTTGAGACACAATTTGGCTGGCTTGAAACTCACCAAGTAGGTTAGGCTGGCTAGCCAGTGAGCCCTAAGCATCTGTCTTCATCTGTCTCCTCCCCTGATCAAATTCAGGTCCCCTAACTCGCAATGCCAACACTTACTGCCTGAGCTATCAGGCATCCACCTTTCCTTAAAAATGTTATTTTTATCTTACTTTTTAAAAAGTTGTAGAGAATTCTATCAAGGCTTTACAGTCAACATACATCAACTCACAAGGCTGAAGGCATATTTGGGTTATTTGTTTAAAATTCACCAAGTAAAGAACTTAGGAGAAAAAAAGGAATCTCAGGATTCTATTTGGCAAGGGCATCTTGCAATCAAAAGGTGTTTTTCATTATTTTGTTGTCATTGTTACTGTTATTCTGTAAATCCAGTTTTATAGGAAACGTGGAATATCTGAAACTTCAGTCCAAACCACTGCAACATCCTTACATGCCTGTTTGTCCACTGCCAAGGCTTCTTCTTACAACACAAACTCAGAGCGGGGATAAGTTTCCTGATCTACTACATATAGAAAGCCACCTAAAAGTTCGTGATACTCGCAAGCTTATTGAGGGCCAGAGGTTGTGGGACGCTATCCACTAACATAAGGGATGGCCACAAGTTCCAAAGTGACACTGCCCTAAAGCCAACATACTTCCGGGGTTCCTGCATTCATTGTCAGCTTTGAAATAAAATAATAACAGGTGAGCAGGTGGTGCATGCCTGAAACCCCAGCTCTCAGGAGGCAGAGGGTGGAGGGTGGGGGAATTCAAGACCAGCCTTGGTGGCAGAATGAGTTCAAGGTCAACCCCCGGCTACGTGAAACCCTGTCTCACAACAACGACCACAACAAACAATAGTATTAAATATTCCTCAAGTGCTCAGGGATGCCAGAGACTGTTAGGGAGGACACAAAGATAAACACAACCTGGTGTCTACCCCAAAATTCAGCCCCCAGGATTGTTATTACTGATGGCACTACCCTTGGGGAGGGTTGAGCAAAGAGGTTTAGGGGAAGTACTTTTCAGCCCCCAAAGGAACAGGACTTATCAACTGTACCCCACGTGAGGGAGGGGACCCTTGTCCCTTCTTACTTCTCAAGTTCCTCCTCAGTTTAGCTAGTGAGATTTTTGGGATGTACAGGTCACCTCTGCAAAGAGTTAGGGTCACCCGGAAGTACACGGAAGTGTGGTTCAGTGTGCCTAAATGCCCTTGGCATGTCCATCTTCTGTCCACTTTCCTTCACCGCTCCCGTGGCCTGATTTTCTTTGCTCAGGTGAGGCTGGTGAGCTCCCGGCCTCAGAGCCCAGACTCCAACATCAGCAGTGTAGGAAGTGTGTGTGTTAGCGTGCTGTTGCTTCAGATGAAGTCACTCTAAGCTGGGTCTGGGAAGTGGGAGTCTCGAAAGGGAACTAGGAAAGGGCGATGTGGGAGAGGACACTGGACGGTAAGTATAGGCCAGGCTTGGTCAGAGCTTCCAGCCTGTTTTCTGATTGTGGGTGTAAGACAAGGACAGGCTGGTGCTCTTTCTATCTGAGGGGACCAGTGTTGCTTGCTAGTCTGGCAACCTCTCCCCCCACTCTGCTTCTTTGACCAGCCCCGGCTGAGGGCAGTGACATCAATAATGATCTTGTCCTACACTTGGTCAGCTGGTATATCCATCACGGGGCCCAGAGGTGGAAGAGTGAATGAGCACACACGCGCGCGCGCGCACACACACACACACACCCCACACACACCTTGTTCCGCTTTAAATAGGTATCTGTAGCTAAAAACTTTGCAGAAGCTGGAAGCAGCCAGTCACCTAGGAAAGAACTCTTAGGACTAAATGCAGTAAAGAGAATCCGGGCACACAGAAACCTTTAGATTTATCCTGCGAACAGAGTGTACTTTCTCTGCAGTTTCCAGCTCAGGACATGCAATGTCTTGGTCAGCTCATAATTCTTGAGGCCGTGAAGGGCCATCTATGATCTTCTTCCTAGCAGCTGCCCGCCTGAGAGCCGGAGTCATGGAGGATCATTAAATAACATTAACAGCCCAAGGTCAAAGGCAGACACTGGAGAGACAGCTGCTCCCTGTATTTACCTAAAGTGGGGGAGACCAGCAACCCTTGCTGGGGAAGGTAATAAGACTTGGTATACACAGCCTTTGTCAGGCTCCTCGAGGAGAGTTCGGTAAAACAGCAGCAGCAGCAACACCCCTAGGCCCAGCCTTTTACTGTGTTTCTAACCAAGTCGAGCTATGCAAAACCAGTTGGAAAATTAAAAACTGAATACATGCCTTCTTTACTCAGGAAGAACAAATGTGGCATTTCAGGGTGAACTCAAACAGTCTTTTCAAAGGAGGCAATTGCTATTAGGTAGATAATATAGGGCACTGGGAGTTAATCATTTACTGGGCAGCATATAGCATGCTCCGACTTCATCAACACAGCCTTTGAAAAAGGTGACTGAGGCTCTAAGACTCAAGATTCAGCTCCAAGAGGCTCTCAGGATTGGTGTGACAGGGTCTGCCACCAATCACGTGTACCTGACAGGATGTGATGGTTTGCAGCATCAAATTGCTGAGCACAGTAGGCCAAGGACGTGCACATGTGTTCGTGTGTGTCTCTCTGTATGCACACAGTTAAAAAAAAATTCCTAGGCTTTTTGCGATTTTTCCCTTTGTTAGGAAACAGCAAACGTTGAGGAATATATGACTGCGGGACATGGTGGGTGTTGATGGACTTCTACTCTGAGAGCTTGGAGAGCAAAGGAATTCACCTCGCCCTCACCAAGAAAAAGACTCCGCTGCGAACAGATTCTCCATTTCCTACTGGAGACCCAAAACATCCCTGTCTACTGCAAGAAGACAGCCTCCTCAGACAGTTTAGGAGCTTTTGAAATCCCAGAATAAGAATTTCCTAACTCCTGGTCATTCTGGGCACAAGTTTGTCCTTGCAGCATGAACATGTAAGAGATATTTGCGTCTGGACACACACAAGGGGGCCTTATGCCTGCCAAGCAGCCGTACTTACCAAACCAGTCCAAAAGAGAAAGAACAGGACCAGCCACGCCGTATCTGTGCATTTCCTATAAATCTGGGGTCGCCACTCGCGCTGCCCGGGTGTTTTCTCTGCGGAAACCTACCAGAAGAATGGGGAGTTGAGAAAAGGAAGAGAAACAGGTGGAATCAACCGAATCCAAAGAAGGCTGCTTAAAGTAACTCAACTTTGTCACCTGACTCTTTCTCCTGGGGAGACCTGAAGGGTGGGTGTGAAGTCCTCTGGGTGCCAAATTCAACTGGAGGTAAGGGCACCCTTCTCCCCTCTAGTCCCTTGTGTCTTTCTGACCTCGGCCGATATTTATGTACGGGGAGGGGGGTGTCCTCCGGGCCAGGTGTCCTTAAAGGAGCGGTGTCGCGGAGAAGAGACTTGATCCCCAAGGGACATGGGAGGCGGAAGCGTCCTGCCTGTGCAGGTGCCGGCAGAGGCCGTTTCCCTGGGGCCCAGGTTGTCGCCCTTACCAAGTACTCGGCGCCCAGGCACTGCATGGTACACTCGGTAGCTAGGTCGGGGACTGGCAGCCTTGGTGGCCGCGGTGCACACCGGACAGAGGTGCAGCGGCCGGCCCAGGTGGCCCAGGCAGGGCGGGCAGGGCGCAGCGCCGCCTAGCGGCAGAGGGCGCTGATTACCCCCCTCCCCCCACTCCCCACTCCGCCCCAGGCCCGCCCTCTCCTCTGTCGCTCTCCTGGGAGCTTGGGTGGCACCCGCGCAGTCCGGGCTCCCAGGAAGTGCACCTGACTACTGTGCGCCAGCCGCGGGCTGTCAGGGCCTGGAGTAGGAAGTGAGGCCTCTGGGATCAACCCCCGAGGGCGGGGAGCTTGAAGGGGTGTGTCACACACAGGTAACCGGTGCTTTCTGTGTGCAGAACCCTCACCAGCTATTCTGTGACAAGCCTCTAGTTGCGAGTTGTTATCGAAGGAGGCTGGGGCAGGACCGGAGGTGGTGCTCAGGGAGACACGCTGTCAAGGGCTGTCAAGGGTGCCTACCGTTCCATCTGCTATTTCTCCAAGGCTGCAGTCTCTGCCCAGAGTCTTTCAGAAGCTTGAGTCTCAGGAACTCAACAGGGACAAAGTCCCCAGAGACCAAGGACTGACTTAGTCTGTGTGTGGGTGTGGGATGTGGGGTGGGGGTTCACTTCTCTCTTACTCTGCCTCATCACCTGACTTTACTGTGGGCATTCTTTGAAGTACCCCGGGTGTGTACGTCCCAGGTGACAAGAGTTTTTGACACTCGGGTGGGTACAAAAGCGCTGCCGAGGAGAGGAATTAAAAACAACTGCAGAGGACCTTCTCAATCTCTCTACCTTTTCATCCCCAGCTCAGCTACTGGCCCCTCCATGCCCTCAGGCTGCTAGCTCCCTGGTCTCCTACAGCACTAAACAGTAAAGCAATAGAAAGGGAGCAAGTCCAGCTTGTACAGCTAGTGTGCTTCTGTAAGTGAGGCCGTCCACGGTAGCAGGATCGACCCACCAGGGGCCATCCACACTCTTCAAGAAGACAGGCTCTCCCTCCTGAGCAGAAGCTATCAACTGTCGGCAGCCCAGCTCGTAGGCTAGCCAGTCAGTCTTCCCTCCATATGCCAGTGTTGACTGGTTTGTTCTTGCGAAGGTTTGGAGCAGGCAACCGCAATGACTCCAAGTTCCTAACTGCCAAGGACCCGGCGGTGTTTCAGGAGATATTATTTTGCCCTGGTCCTCCCTGGCCTCTGGCTCTTACAGTCTTCCCTGACTCCTCTTCCGGAATGTTCTCTGAGCCTTGTCGATGTAGTTAGGAGGAGGATTTGGGGGTGAATATCATCAAAATATTTTTGCAAGGCCGGGCGGTAGTGCTGGCACACCTTTAATCCCCACACTCGGGAGGCAGAGGCAGAGGCAGAGGCAGAGGCAGAGGCAGAGGCAGAGGCAGAGGCAGAGGCAGAGGCAGAGGCAGAGGCAGAGGCAGAGGCAGAGGCAGAGGCAGAGGCAGAGGCAGAGGCAGAGGCAGAGGCAGAGGCAGAGGCAGAGGCAGAGGCAGGCGGATCTCTGTGGGTTCGAGGCCAGCCTGGTCTACAAGAGCTACAAGTTCCAGGACAGGCTCCAAAGCTACAGAGAAACCTGTTTCGAAAAACCAAAAATAAACAAGTAAAATATTTTGCAAATATGTATAAAAATCTAAAACGGCAATACAAATATATAAAAAATAATCAAGTGGTGGGTAAAAGGGAATGACAGTTAATGGATCTCTGGTGTATGGGGTGGAAATCCTTCTAGGCTGCTCCTAACTCTCAGGACTTTCCTGAATGCAGGCTTCTCAGAGCGAGTAGCTGGAACCCGCAGGCCCGAGTTCACCTGTCCCTGCACTCCCCAAGCAGACAGTGTACTGCCCCAGAAAGACCACAGTTGAATCACAGCATCGGAAACAAGTTCTCACTGGAACAGATGGACGGAGAGGTTGAAACACACACTACATGCATATTTATATTTGCAGAGCTGGGTATGACAGTCACAGCGAGGCAGAAAAAACAATGACGAAACCAGAACCAAGAGTTCTATTAGGCACGGAGAACTTAACGATTAGAACGAACGCTTCCTGGTACCATTTAGTCACCGTGTGGAATAAGCGGGAGAGGAGGCGTAGCTGAAGGCGGCTGAGTGACTGGAGGAGCGGCAGAAGGTGCATTGTAACCGCTCTCTGGTCTCACACATTTGAATGGCCTGCGGACGTATGAATGGCTGGGTGAAATTCCCTCCTTTCATTCACCAAGTAAGTACGCCTGTCTCTCAGACGTCTCTTACTCAAACTTTGGATGGTACACACCGATCTCGAGAAACCATTTTTTCTTCCTAAGTGCACACTGAGAGACTGAGAGTTCTAACAGAAAGCTTGAGGCAGTCTTTTTTTTTTTTTTTTGGTTTTTCGAGACAGGGTTTCTCTGTGGTTTTGGAGCCTGTCCTGGAACTAGCTCTTGTAGACCAGGCTGGTCTCGAACTCACAGAGATCCGCCTGCCTCCTGAGTGCTGGGATTAAAGGCGGGTGCCACCACAGTCTTGAGGGCAATTGTTTGTGGTTTTCGAGCCCGGTCTTGAGGGGCGTTAGACCCAGAGATGATTACTGGAGAAAACACCTTGTGGCAGACAGGTTTTGGCATATCTATACAGTTATTAGTGCTGGAAGGTGCTTTCTTATGAAATATGCCAAGTGTTAGAGAGGGAGAAATTATTTACAAGGCACTTGGAAACCCCTCCTTTCCTGTGTCTTCCCCACTAATCAATCCCACCTATAATTTCCTAAATAGACAAAAAAAGTCTTTGAATCTATATTGAAGGAAGACTTACATTACAAATGACTCTGAAAGAGGACTCAGGACTAATAACGCCCTCATTAGCTATGGATGTTCGCTACCGGATCCCATTCGAATCGACGGTCTTGGCGGAGAGAAAGTCCGGTTTGTGGGGATGCGGAAGCGGCACACGGCTTGTGGGGGATGCGGAAGCGGCACACGGTTTGTGGGGGGTGCGGAAGCGGCATGTGAAGGGCAGGACTGCCACCTCCCAGTCACATGCCAGCTTCGTGCTGACCTCAGGCCTGTACTTTCTTTGTCCAGTTGGATAAACATCATGGCTGGCGGAGTCCATTTGTTTACTCTGAAAAGCGAGACTGCATTGGCATCTCATGACTGTTGGAAAACAAAGATACCATCTGCTTTGGCTTCTTACCAGATATCTCATAGAGATCTCAGTAATTTTAGTTAATATATGAGGACGTTTCTATAAAAACAGCTTACATTTGATTCCCTAAAGTTTTATTGCATTTGGCTATGTTTCAGTGAGCTTTTCATCGCTGAGATAAATAACGCACACAAACATCAACCTAACAGAGGAAAGATTTGCTTTGTCTTATGGTTTCAGTCCATCACGGTTATGAAGAGCCCGCTATGATGACCAGAAAGCAAAGAGAAAGAATCAGGGCTTTTCTCCTCTCCCCTCTTTGTTCCATCTGAGCTTCTGCCTGTGGTTCGAGAAGTCCACGTTCAAAGTGGGCTCTCTCCTCTTAGTCCTTTTTTGGAAGCACCTTCCCAGACATACCCAGAAGCATGCTTTTCCAACTTGCAGGCATCTTTCCCCTCCACCACGGTGGCAGGCAGGGTTAACTCGCAGGTCACCTGTGCCTTATTCTCCTCCGCATCCAACAGCAAGCCGTCCATTTGGAGGGAATGCGTAGAGCTGCAGAGTCAGGGCAGCCGCTAACCACCCCACCACTTGGCTCTGCCTTAAAAAGTCCTACATGGAGACCTTCTCAGGAGACATTCACTGAATTATCTTGAAGTTCGCAATTCATCAACATTTTTCTGTTCTTTGTGAAGTGAAGCCAAGAAGAAAAGAAGGGGGGCAGAGGCCTGTGTTGGCGTTCACAGAGGAAGACTCATTGTTGTAGATATGAAAACCTAGGTCAGCTGGAGAGCATGAGGCTGGGTTCCCTTCTCTCTGGCCTTCTTTGTAAAATGAGAATGGACAGCCAGATTCTACCTTTTCCCCAGCTCTGAAAACCTATGATTTAAAAACCCATGGTATTTGCATGAAAACTAAATGCCCAAAGCAATTAAATTACAGGTGGAGAAAAAAAAAGTGGGGGAGAGAGGACCAATTAAAACTAAGGCTTATTCTTTGAAGGAAAAATTCTAGAAAAGAAAAAAAGAGACAGGACTCTGGCGAGGTCAATGGAAAGGGGGTGAACTATGCATAAACCCTTATCTAGAAGATCTGTGCAGGTTCTCACCACAGCGACGGCAGTGCCGTTCCTCTACAATGCTATCTTCCTATAGCTCTATAGTGATTATTTCCCCTTTCGTCCATATCTGTGTTTTACACGAGCTATATTATAGCATGAGTCAATTTTTTTTCATAGATTGGCATCCTCCATCCTCCACGAGACTTGAAAAATCCTGTGAGGGCTAATGTAATTACCACTTTCTAACAGCAGATGGCACTGTAAGCCAGTGGCTGTGTTGTTAAAAAAACTAGACCATCTACATTTTTTTTCATGGATTCTGAGCTAGATATGGTCTCTTATCTATATTTCTGTTATTTACATATTAAATACTAATATTACAAAAAAGTCGAGGCAGCTCTTATACTCTATAGATGTTTACTTCAACGCTGTATATGTACTGTCAAAAGCTATTAAATAGATGGAGCTTCTACATTCTTTAAATTGTCTAGCGTATCTAACATGTTACGAAACTCAGCACTATTTGGGACTAGTTAAACGATGCCTTACATCATTGTCTAGGAGGATGTGAGTTTAGGCAAACTCAGCCTTGAGTCCAGACTCCAACGCGCGCCAGCTGTGTGAGTCGGGCCAAATTTAACGTATCCTGTATCAGCTACAGTTTCCTTGTCCCTGCCACGGCCAACTTAGAGTGAGTCTTGTTCTACGTCCACTATGTAAGTGGGCCCCAAGCAATCTCAGCAACTTCCTGATGGTGTTAAATGCTTTCTGGAAGATTTAGTTAACTAAGATATCAAACAGGCGCCTTCCATTTATAGTAAGTGGGTCGGTTTGTCTACGCTATTTAGTGAATTACTTTGTTGACTCAGGGGCAGCTGTGTTCATACGGGTCTCTTGGGGGGGCATAAGACCCCAGAGAGCTTGCTCATCATCTTTAATGCTGTGGCCTCAGGGCAGAACCTTCTGGAATGACGTTAACTTGGCATATTCCAGGGCTCCCCAAACATACCACTGTGAAAACTCTGCTCTAAAACATACTGCTGTTGAGGTCGTATTATCTGGCTCAGTCCTGCCGTGCGTGCAATATGCTGACTTTATCTATTAGGTAGTGGGAAACCAAACCTGTAGAGAGGAAGTTCCTCTGTCCTTTCCGCCTCCCAGCCTGTCACACATCTTCCGTTTGCTGTAGCTTCCAATGGGGGCGTCCAGGGCCAGGGAGGAAGTTCCACCCGCACTGTGAAATCGTGGGAGTTCCAGGCTGGTGAGCAGCTGTTCTGGAGAACCGAAGTTGATTTATCTGTTAACTGAGTTCTGCCCCTCCCTAAAGTTTACACGTAGACATCCCAGTCCCCCAGCACCTCAGCATTTGGAGATTTTTGTTGTTTGTTTGTTCTTTTGTTTGTTTCTTTATTTGTTTTCGAGACAGGGTTTCTCTGTGTAACAGCCCCTGGCTGCCCTTGTACTCTGTAGACCAAGTTGGTCTCACTCACAGAGATCCGCCTGCCTCTGCCTTCCGAGTGCTGGAATTAAAGGCGTGTACCACAATGCCTGGTTGAACCATTTCATTTTCTGAGTATTTATTTTTACTTCATGTATATGAGTATTTTGCCTGTATGTATGTATAGACACCGTGTGCATGCCTGGTGTCCATGAAGGTCGGAAGAGAGTGGTCAGATCCTCTGGAACTGGAGTTACAGATGACTATGAGCCACCAAGTGGGTGCTGAGAAATGAACTTGGGTCCTCTGGAAGAGTAGCAAGTTCTTTTAACCACGTAACCATTTCTCTTCCCTCAGAATGGTTTCTAAACAAGGACACTCCCTCCCCTTCTGTTAGCCGAGAGGATTAGTGAAGGATTTCCCACCCCTACCCTCTCTCCAGAGCCTCTCTCCATAGTTTGATGATTTATGATTTGTTTGCAAAAGCTTGCATCTAAAAATAAAAAAAAAAACCACACCAAGATATTGAAAGCTCTACTAAATATAAACAACACAAAACCAGGGCAGTTCTCCTGCTTCTTAGTATTGGACGCAAAGATGTTAGAATTAAATCTCACGTATGCGCATGAACGATTTGCAATATATTTGGGGGGCAGTTGCTTTCAGGCCATCTTGGAGACTGTAATGGCCCTTTTGTGCTGAGGCTTTGGCAGGCACCTCTTAACTGATGGGGGACAATAGGCTGCAAAGTCTGAACAGTGGACAATATCAGACGCTAGAGGGTCATGTTCTCACTGACTGATCCCATAGACAGAATATCCCTTCAGCGACATCGAGTGGCTTTAGGGACGCGGCAGGGGCATTTCACATGGCAACGCTGCAGAAGGGCTCTAGCTTGCAGCTGGTCTGCAAATGCAAAGGCAACACAGAGAATCAACGAGAGGGCTGTCTGTCAGGCCCGGCTGAGAGCTCCAGGTTCTGAGGTGGAAGGGTAGCTTCACACTTGGTGCTAGCTGGCACAGGCAGTCAGTCTCCTGAGGCGGGCTGGCTTCAGGAAAGACAGGAAAGGCAGCTGGAAATGCCGGAAGTCTGACCCCCAGCACCTGAAGTCCCAGCCCTGCTCCCTGGCTTCCACTCAGCTCTTTGGCCTCACAATTAAACCCAAAAGATGGAGCCAGCTAACTTTATGCAGAGCACATGGCCTCCCCTGCATTCTAAGGAGTTATTTACCAGATAGAGTGCGTGGTTGGTGAACTTTACCCTGCTAGCCAGAACCCCCGGCCTCCTGGGTAAACCTGCTTCTAATTGTCTAATTAATGAAAGGCGAGCCACGGTTTCTCGGCAACACGAGATAGAAGTCATCTTGTGTTATGTTTGAGTGTGGTTTTCTCTAGGAAAACGGGATCCAAAGTGAAACCCTCGTGGGAGCGAAAGAAGAGAGAATCAGTGTGCTAGAAATGAAATTCCAGGTTATGACAAGTTATGAGGAAAGAAGCCCCCACCGGGCCCGGAAAGATGAGCCTTGCCAAAGTGTGGCTACTTTCCAATTTAGCTGAATAAAAATGGGTTAATTTAAGATATAGGAGTTAATTAATAAAAAGTCTAAGGTAATAGGCCAAAGAGTATGCAATTATTATTAAGCCTCAGAATGGTTATTTTATAAGTGGCTTCGAGAACAGGAGGGTGGGAGAAAACCCGGTCCAGGGGGACCATCAGGCTGGAGACAGTTTGTAGCTACATCAGTGAGGACAAGGTTCAGTTCTGGGGAGCCACTTCAGGGACCTCAAGATCCTGTATATGACACTCGCAAGAATCCAGAATGTGTCATAAGGTGAAAGAATACACAAATAATAAATGAAATGAACTATTGATAGAGCAAATTTTCACATAGACACAAGTAGATTAAATTAACAGCAAACAGTAAGTTAAATAAATTGTAAACAACAACTACAGACAGAGAAGCACTGCGTGTTTCCAGTTCAGTCACAGTCCCCAAAGTGTGACTCATTCCTAGGAAACCTTGTGGATATAAATAGCAATGTTTGTTAAGTTCCTAGAAGATCCCGGATGAGCTTCCCAATGATGCAAAAATTCAGAGGAAACACACGACTATGGGACATAAATCCATCCGAATTCAAAATTAAGGAAGATATCATTATTTTCTGTAATATTTCCAAAATTCTTGTGTCTTTATCCCAAAGCATGATCACAAAAGCTGTGGGGGACAGAAAAACGGGCAACAGACGTGACCACTTCACAAAAGACACACGAACCTGTGGAAGCTGTGAACACGGAAGCGTCCAACCCCAGGATAGTTTGCTTGATTTTGGAGATGGGGTTTCGCTAAGTGGCTCTGGTTGGCCCCAGTGTGAGATCTCCCTGCCTCCGTGGGCTGAGACTACAGGTGCTGTCCGCTGCTCCTTGGCTCCAATTCCAGATTTTAAATGCAGATAACAGAGCTATCACATTTGTTGACACCTATACTTTAGCCATGACATCTCAAACTAAGGTGATCCAAATGCTGGCGACAGTGTGGGGAATAGGTGTGCTGAGATCCGGAAGGGACTGGATTGTGTGTCTCTTATGGACAATGCTCACCTCCCCACCTTCCTCTCTCCCCTCATCGACCAGTAAGAAGAGAGAATGGAATATCTGCTCTATCCTTTACTGGACCATTGACCAGCTCTCCAGGCCTCAGTTTTCTTATCTATAAATTGGCAGAACAGTACCTAATGCTTTGCTGAGGGAATTAAATGTGATTATCTGTGGTGGACTTACAACTGATACAACCAAGTGTTCAGTAATGCTAGCTGCTGTTGTTCTTACGTTTCCATTCTAACTGAATTTTTCTAATTTTAATTGTTTAACTTATAATTAATTTATAATTTAAATGGCAATTTTGCATATAAAGTTATGTTAAATATAAAATTACTTATATATAAAGCTGTAAGTAAATATAAAATACAATTTAGTTTATAATTTTTTATAAACTGATTTAAATCATTTTGGGGATGTAACTATAGACAAATGAATACACACTGTGAGTGGGCATGAAGCCCACCCTTGGCTGAGGAGTTATTGGCACTGAATAGGTTAGGATAGAGGAAAGGTCAGTTCTCTTCAAGGGTGTGACCCCGGGAAGTTGACTGTACTACAGGACAGGACACACCAAAGAGGATTTGGGCAACACAGACTGGACCCAATGGGTTTAAAGAGAGACAGGATATGAAGTCAAGTGGTTAGAAAGGCAGGAGTGGATTTGGGAGGAACTAGGGGAGGGAGGAAAATATCATCAAAATGTATCTAAATTCTGAAAGAATTAATAAAATATTATTTTAAATAATTACATTAATTTATGATGCCCCAGTGGCTATAAGTAACTAGAAAACAGAGTCAGATGTACATATATATCAGCAACCACCTCACCACTAAACAGACTCATCAGGTTGTATTACACACACACACTCACACACACATAACAATAATAATTAGAGAACAAGAGGCCGTGAACTTAGAGGGAATTAGGAGGAGGAACAGAGATGGTGGAGTGGAAAGGTCTAAATATACTACTCACATACAAAAGCCTAAAAATAGAATAAAATAAATGTCAAAACCTCCACGTTCATTTCACGATCTTGGACACATTTCACTTTTTAAAAATTCTACACATGACCAAGCTGAAGTAATTTTATGAACACAAACATTCTGGGCTCGGGAGATTGCGCAATCAGTGGAGCGCTTTGCAGGCGTCGCGACCTGAGCTTATTTTATTGATCACATGAGAAGCAGGCTCAGAGCACGTGCTTGCCATCACAGCGCCGGAGAAGGGGAGGCAGAGAGTGTCTGATGTGTTGGCCAGTCCATCAAGAACCCTAGAAAGCTTGAGCTTCCCCTCTGACCCCGCAGGCATGCACACCCGTATGGGCTTGTGTGTACATCACTCCCTTCAGACACACAGCGTAATTTTATGCATAAAATTTTTAGAATGAAAAATATCTATTCGTGATAATTAAAACCTGAAAACCCCACGAATGTCTTCAGAAATGCATAAATTACCCACAAAGGCGCTGTCTATTATGCACACATTTTTGAAGATGTCAGAGTATGATGCACGTTTATGAGGCAGGCCCAGTGAAAAAGCAGTTTTCTCGCTCGCGTCTACCAGCATGACTACCACCACCTAAAATAACACCGGAAGAAAAACCCTGGAAGGAAACTTAGTAACATGTTAATAATGGATCCCTAATGGAGAAACAATAGAAGATCTAAAGCCCTTCTCCGTTCACTTCTGTAATTCCCCGTTGTCTTTAGTAATGAGTCTCCCCACCCACACACGGCACCAGCTAAGGTCCCTGCTTGTACTGCGTGGATAAACGGAACAGCTCAGTTTGAACTGTTTTCTTTGGATAGAATGTCATCGTCAGATCAGGAGGCCCGCAATTGAAAAGTCTCCTATAAGAACGCGGAATGCTCTGAGCCTATGCCAGAACACAGTTTACTGGAAATGGGCCTTGGTGCGGGTGCAGATGATCAAGTGAGAGCAAACAGCATTTTTAGAGAAGGAGGGGAAGCTGGGTCTTGGTAGGACTTGCAAAAGTGCCAGAAATTCCAAAATCAGGGCAATGGATTCCAGAGCAGAGGCCACTATTTATGTGGGCAAAAATCCCACAAACCTTATCTCTGTAAAGAAGCGAGTGAGCTCTGGCTAGAACAGGCCACCACTGTTATTCTTGAGTTTGTATTATTTGTTTCAACCCCGAACCATTTAATGATTGAATTCAAACAATGTCGGAACCCTAAGACAGAATCCTATACTTTGGAGTTGTATGCTGGCTTTACTGGTGTTAGTACTAGATTGTCTAAGGGAGGACATGAGAGTCGCAGTGCCCACTCCTGCTCTCTGTGACAGGACTCTTCTCTGGTGTTGCCAGAGCTGCGGTTTCCGAAGAGGAAGATTTTGCCTGAGTTAACTCGGCTCGCTTCAGAGAAATCATTTTCTGGAGAACTTATGTTTCTTTCTTTTTTAAAAAAATATTTATTTATTTATTTATTATGTATTATTCTTTCTGCGTGTATGCCTGAAGGCCAGAGAGGGCACCAGACCTCATTACAGATGGTTGTGAGCCACCGTGTGGTTGCTGGGAATTGAACTCAGGACCTTTGGAAGAGCAGGCAATGCTCTTAATCGCTGAGCCATCTCTCCAGCCCCCAGAGCGTATGTTGCTTGACCAAGGCCACACAGCTGGAAAGCGGCAAAGTCGGGACGCGTGAGCCCAAGATGTAGGGTGTAACACCCTTTCTCCCCAATGCCAAACAGTTCACAGCTATGGCTTCACCGAGGCGAGCGAGGTTGCCCTGCACTGCTGTCTACTCCCAGCTTCTTCTCCTCAACTGAGCCAAGTCCTTCCACAGCAATAGCTATAAACCTAGCTCGCTTTTTAAATGGCTGCACTGCATTTTGTTACATGGAAATTTTGTTTACTTTTTTTTCATTTCTTTTTTTTTTAATGGTAGGAGTGTTTTACCTGTATGCGTGCATGTATGTAGGTGCTCGTCATGTGTGCCAAGAGCACACAGAGACCAGAAGGGGTGTCAGAGTTAGGAGCAGCCATGTGGGCACTGAGAAGCGAATCCAGGTCCTGACTAGAGGAACAGCGCTCTTAATTGATGAATCACCTCTTCAGCCCCCACTTTTTCATTTTATGTTTGTTTTTGTTTCTGTGGATTTTTTTAAAGTTTTTCCTTCCTTCCTTCCTTCCTTCCTTCCTTCCTTCCTTCCTTCCTTCCTTCCTTCCTTCCTTCCTTTCTCCCCTTCACACCCTTTCTTTTGAGATAGGTCTCATTGTGTGTAGCTCTAGCTGTCCAGGAACTCACAATGTAAACCAAAGTGACATTGAACTCAAAGATCAGTCTGCCTGGCAGATCTCTGTGAGTTTGAGGCCAGCCTGGGTCTATAGAGTGAGTTCCAGGACAGCCAGAGGTACACAAGGAAACCCTGTCTCAAAAAACCAAAACCAACCAATCAAACAAACAACAAACAAACAAACAAAAACCTCTCAAATCAGTCCGCCCCTTTCTCCTGAGTGCTGGGATTAAAAAGACCCTTACTCCTGGATTATCCCCCACCCCTTTTAAAGACAGCATCTTGCAACAAAGCTCAGGTTAGCTTTGAACTCACTATGTTTCTCAGGTTAAACACATGCTATTGTTTGCCTCAGTGTCTCAAAGTTCTGGAGTTTCAATCATGAGTCGCATGCACGGCCAAAGGTGAGAAAAACCGTTCTAGATAGTTATTGTAAATTAGAGATTTGTGTAATGCTTACATTACAAAAGAAACTCGATTTGATATGCTTTCAAATTTGATGGTTATTTTAAAATTTCCTCGAGAAGCATCTGAATAAACAAACGAAGTGGATGCTCTGTGCATCTTTGTACAATTGTCAGAGTTCTGATTTTAAGCTCGTGTTACTTCCAGGAGTCACTCTGTTCAGCTTTAATGTTTTCCAGAAGTCTACTGTGTGGAACGTGCAATCCTGACCTGTGGAACTGGAGAGGGGGCCAGCAGTTCACCGTACAGTAGGTACCGCAGTTCACGTATGTATAGCAGCCCACCAGGAACCCTGGTCAGCGCATGATCGCATGACTGGGAAGGCAGTCGACATTCGCGCTGTTGTTTCTGGGTTCTCCAGCACGTGATTCTTTCATGACTATTTCTTGTTAGGAACATTTATTGTTTATACTAAAAATAACAAGAGAGTTTAGCAACTCCTAACTGGATTTTAATAGACTGTTTGTCTAAGCACCGTGTTCTAAACGATCATAGTTATGTGAAGGTCAGTTTAGGGTCAAGTAATAAATTCTGGCCTATAAACTGTTAGCTGCACAAATCAAAGCTCCCGAAGTCCCTTGCTTGTTTCTGTCCATCTTTGTAATAAAACAGAGGCATCTTTCTATTACTGATGCTGGTTCCTCATAGAAATCCATTATTTGCTGTCCCAAAACCACTCTGGGGGAAGCTTAGGGAAAATGGGAGAGGATAGGCCGTGGTCTGCCAGCTTGACCTGTGAGACTTCTGCCCCCACAGCTCAAGAAGACCAAGCCGAAATAGAGCGTTTTCCCCCTCTCCTCTCTTTTGCTTCTCTGTCGTGTGTGTACAGGAGGGACAGTCCCCAGTGACTCTCCAGGTACTGTCGTCTGTCACAGGACTGTCCCAGAGAAGCAAAGCCCGCATCCAGCGGTTAGCTCAAGCACCAGGAGAGCTGGCAGATGGAAACGAGCTCCCAGATGCAGAAAAATGGCGCGTGATGCAAGCCTCAGTGGGGCTAGCGCTGAGCGGAAGGGGGCTAGCCTCGCCTTCCCATTGCACTTCTCTTGAGTCAGCCCTTGGCCATCCCTGGCTACTCCCTAGCTTCCAGCTTCCTCTGCCGCTGCTCCTTAGGATGTGTGATGAGGAAGACAAAGCTCTGACCCTAACCCAGGGAATTAGCCCTTTACAGCTCTGCCAACTCTAGCGAAAACACCAGCATGATCGTAGACATGATCGTAGACACGGTGGGGTCCTGACCGGTCCCCAGGCTTTGTGTGCAAGACAGAGCTGTTAGAAAGAGATATCCTCATGCAGCCGTGCAGACCAACATCCAAGACCTCAGGAGACCCAGCAGATAGGCTGTGAGGGCATGGGCCTGGGCTCCCTGCCACCTATACACGGTAAAGGGCTCACTTGGCAGAGACGTAAGACAGATCTGCTATTAGGCTCCACTCCTCACTGGACCTACCTGTCAAAGGGAAGGACACTACCACCCACTTGAGAAAGCATGGGAAGCCTAGCCGACACAGAGGCCTTTTCGACTCAAGTCACTGAATTTTCCTCTTGCCATTCTGTGCTCGCTAGACCGAGGTCAACGATCAAGTCGTCAAACTCAGACATCGGTCATTCAGAGCAGAAAACAAGGGAGTTTTATATCCTGTTGGGTCACATCCTGTTCACAGTGGCAGGAAGTGGGGGCCAAAGCCCAAGAGAGTTGGGAAAACATGATGTTTGCACGAAACATGTTCTGGTGTACAGTTCCGAACAACGCTGTGGATAAACCGTGGTTAGGGAAGCCCTAAAATTCTTGTCCAATGAAACTCACTGCAAGTTATTCATCTGTGTTGGACCTAACGTTATGCAAATCTTAAAAAACAAGAGCGTCTTATTGGCCATCTGAAAATGTATCACGTAAGCCATGAGTGTTGTCCCTAAAAATAGAGGTGCAATGTTGGGAATTCCTGAGGGACAGACAGTCCTTGGGACCACGGCATTACGGACCTTGTTCAGAACTGAGGATGTTGTGGTTCTTCTTGATGGGAAGGGATGTGTGTCAGGAGTCATGATGTAGGCCAAAGAACACTGCCTAGAAGGCAGTAGGCTTGTGCAGAATTGGGGGCACGTCGAACTCCCCGCTCATGGCGTAACTTGTCTTTCCTTTGTTTGGCGGTTGTCTCCTGTGACAGAAGAGCTTTTGCAGCCTTGGCTTCACCTTCATTGCTCTCCTGCCTTCTCATTTTCAGTTTCCTGTAGCTGGGGCAAGATGGTGACTCTGGGAATCTCCCACCTACTTCTCAAGGTGGGATGCAAGGGAAAGGGATTACTACTTCTTGGGATTAGGTGAATAAATAGCATCCTCAGGACACACCCGAGTGGCCCCTCTAGTTCTGGGCTTTCTAGTAATTCAGAACTGCTGTGCTTCCGAGTCTAGCTAGTAGGACTCAGAGTTTTGGTTGTTGGCCCCAGGAATCACTCTTTGAGAACTATGTGCTCAGAAAATGTCACTCGATGGTCCTTTTGATTTTCCTCCAGGTTTTTTTCATCTATGTGAAGTAGATGTGCTAAACGTGGACCACAGCTGGTGGGGATTTATATCTTAGGATCATCCATGTGTTTTGAGTGGAAAGGAAGCTCACAGGTAGATGGGATAAAGGCTTCATCTGTCATTGGAGATTTTAGCCGATAATCATTAAAAAAAAAAGAGATATAAAGGAAAGATCTAAGATTGACATAGAAATAGGTTTTAAATTATAACCACTTTACTATTACAACGCCGTGGCATTTCAGCCTGTATGCTGAAAGAAATGAGCGTTATAGCTAGCCGCCTAATGAAGACCTTGGGTAGAAAACCAACTGATGCGTGAGTTCAGAATCACTCAGATGTGTTCTCAAGTTCTGTATACGTCTAAAAGGCCCCGCTATCTGGCCAGGTCAGCAGGCAAAACTATGTGCTTCTGTTGTGTATACATGGCCTCTTTTCTGTTTTCACCTCACTGTTCCATTCTTTGGGAAGTGTGGGAGCGAAAGTTCCCCCTTGCCGACCTCCATAGTGCTTGCTGTAGGGCAGACAATGCGTTAAACTCTGGGCTCGCACCTCCTTGGATCCTGCTATCTGGAAGCAGGGGATATCATTGCTCTACTATGCCAGAGAAAGGATGGAGCAGCTGCGCTTGTTTTGTCTTACTCCGGGTTGCACTTTCAGGATGTGAAACAGCTAGAGCTTCCTAGAGCTTGTTGGATCTTCCTTTCCTCTTGCAGCTCAAGTTCTCTTGCTGCCTGTCACTGCTTTCCAACTCAGTTCCTCAGACAGATAGGAGTGCCACAAAACAATGTGTTCTAAAGTGGACCAAGTATTCGTCGGGCGGTGTGATCTCTGTCTTTATTTTTAGTCTGGCTTGGAAACTTCAGTTGATGATCACTGGTTTCTACAAGCTGAGACACTCATTACTGGACACCCCTGGTTACAGAATATAGGTTTATGTAATAGGAAAAGGTCTTTCAAAAATGTAATCCAGAGGAAGAGAAACGTCAGCAATTTCCGGATGTTTGGGTTCCCCTTTTTCCCCCCATGAACTATTTGGTTTCATGTGGGACTAAAAAAAACTGCCTAAGAGGACAAAAATAATTTCCTTTGTAGCTGTACCTCATAAAACGACAACGCATTGTGTTTTTTTTTTTCATGGAAAGTCTATTTCTAGAAAGAATGCGGGCCACTGTCAGGCTCATGAGTAATAACTATTTGGCAAGATGATGCTTGCCACAGACAATCACTCTGAGCCCTTCTTTGGAAGGTTTGGGCTTCTGTTTCGTTTTCATCATTTGTACATGCTCACCTGCAGCACACAAAACCCAGTTTATTAGAAAACCCAAAAGATACGTGTTCAGGGCTATGGGATCTCCTTTTAATTCCTAGATAATGACCCAGCAATTTAGATGCACCGAGTGGAGTAGAGAGAGCATCCCTCCTGACTTTACAAAAACCCAAAGCACAGGGAACTACAGACCTTTGCACGCTCAGGCGTCTTCCCCCATGCGAAGGTCTGTAGTTCCCTGGGCTTTAGGAGACAGAAATTGGGGTTCAACCTGAAGGTCAGAAAAGCAAAACAATCAGCCACTGGCTCTTACCTCTACCTCAGCCCCAAATGGCGATCCTGTTTCCAGGAATTTCAGAATGAGACTGACTGAGAGCTGTCCCTATCATTTTATAATCCTCTCTAGTTCTGGGATTAAGGGCGTGCACTGCTACTGCCTGGTTTCTATGGCAACTAGTGTGGCTACTGGGATTAAAGGTGTGTGTCACCATTGCCTGGTCTGTAAGGCTGGCTGGTGTGGTTGTTTTACTCTGAACTTGAGGCAAGCTTTAATAAGATACAAATGTGAGGCCGCTGCTTTTCGGAGCCGTGCGTGTTCTGCACAGAATTTTCTTGTGTAAATAAAGTGTGGTTTGGCTCAGATTGCCTCCAGCTTATTTGAAATAGTAATTTAACGGTCAGCTAAAGTAAGTTGAAGTTTACAGACCTGGAAAACAGTCATGATCATGTCTTGATTTGGGCTATACATTTTGTGAAAATAAATGAAAACACAATGAACCACATCTAACTTCCCTGGAGGAAGAAAGAAGAATGTATGATGTGTCCAAATGAGCCCCACACACATGTACCTGAGCTTCCATAGCTCGGCCCCGATATGGAGGAAGTACAGAAGGGGCTCCAAGTGAGGCTGGACGCAAGCTTTGTCTAATTTAGGGGAACGAGACTCAGAAGTGAGAAGATGCGCCAGATAAACTCTAGTCTTCGGAGCGCAGTGGTCTTGGATCTAAGTCATCATTGCTGCAGGTTTAGAAACAAGATAACATGCCAGATAGAATACTTTCTGTCCCGAGATTCCCGTGGATTCTTCCATTCTGATCTAATGTCTGAGCTAATAAAACAATCACAAACCAGCAGTGGCGTTAAAGCACGGGAGTCAAAGGCACACCACAAAGTCCTGGGTGCCTGCTCAAAGTTGCTTTGGTCCCAGTTCTCGAAATAGGAATGATTTATGCATTGACAGGTCCAAGCTTATAGAAGAGGCCTGCATATAATACTAAAAGCCAAGCCCCAAAGGATGAGTTCAGTTTTGTTTTTATTTTTTTAAACATTTTCTCTCTCTCTCTCTCTCTCCATATGTGTGTGTGTGTGTGTGTGTGTGTGTGTGTGTGTGTGTGTGTATCTGGAGTTTCAGACATTTGTGAAACAAGTTGGGACATGAGTTCCGGGAACAGAACTCAGAACCTCTGCAAAATCACTAAATGCTCTGCTTTTTCTTTTAAAAGACAGGGTTTCTATCCTGGAACTCACTCTGTAGACCAGGCTGGCCTTGAACACACAGAGATCCACCTGCCTCTGCCTCCCCAGCGCTGAGATTAAAGGTGTGACTCTCAATAAATGCTCCCAACGGCTGAGTCATCTCTCTGGCCCGTTTGTTCCTTTGTGTTGGGTTATTCTTCTTATGTTGTAAAAATCCTGATGAGTTCTTTATCAAATACATGATGTGCAAACACCTCCCTTTAGAATGTGGCTTGTCTTTTAATTTTCTTTCTCAAAGTTTATTTTAAGTGACTTAAAAATTATATGTGCCATTGGGGGAATCTTGTATTTGTTTTGATACATATATATAGTATAATGTTTATATATGTATATATAGTATGTACTATAATAGCAAATGTACTATACATCATATGCACATATATGCAAACATAATGCTATATAATATATATTATATATAATATTATATAGAGAGTATAATGTTTACAACTGGCTAACCATATTTATCCCCTCAAACATTTACCATTTCTTTAAAGTGAATCTTTTTATTTTTTTGGACTGTGTAATACATCTTTTAATTTTCTTTTTTTTTTTAAAAAAAATTTATCATGTATACAGTGTTCTGCCTGCATGTATACCTGCAGGCTAGAAGAGGGCATTAGATCTCATTACAGATGACTGTGGGCCACTGTGTGGTTGCTGGGAATTGAACTCAGGACCTGCAGGCTAAAGAGCAGCCAGAGCTCTTAAGCACTGAGCCATCTCTCCAGCCCTCTTTTAATTTGCTTAATGGCTCCTTTGGAAGAGTAAAACTTGATTTTGATGTAGCCCAACGTAACTCTTAGAAATTTACTGATCATTCCTTTGGTGTCACATCTAACAAATGTTTACATAACCCAAGGTGACAGAGTCTATTTATTTTCTAGAAGTTTTTTAGTTTTACAGTTTAAATCTTGGTTATGATCCATCTTGAATTGTATATGGTGTAGGGCCAGGGCTTCCTCTTCCTCCTCCTCCTTCTCCTCTTTCCCCTTCTCTTCTTTCTCCTCCTCCTTTTCTCTTGTGAATGTATAATTATCCCATTCATTGCACGATTGATACAGAAGCGGTTACTGGATCAGGAGTCACATGACACCGTGGTATGGGACATGTGGTGACTGGCAATGAAACCACATCTTTTTTTTTTTAATATTTATTTATTTATTATGTATACACTATTCTGTCTGTGTGTATGCCTGAAGGTCAGAAGAGGGCGCCAGACCTCTTTACAGATGGTTGTGAGCCACCATGTGGTTTCTGGGAATTGAATTCATGACTTTTGGAGGAGCAGGCAATGCTCTTAACCATTAAGCCATCTCTCCAGCCCATGAAACCACATCTTGAGCATCAGCTACAACGGTGTCATAACCTGGCTAAAGTTATACAGTTCCCTGCCATTCTCTAAGAACTATGCCCTTGGCATCAGCTAAACAGGCAGGCTGAAGGCGGCATAGGATCCATGGCCCTGCGCCTTTCTCTTCTTCCACAGTAGCACTGCTCTCTGCTGCCCCCTAGGGACGCAGTGTTGCCTCCTCCAGCAGGGAAATTACCAGGTTGCCTGGGCTGCGCAGTGACTTCAAGGTCATCCCAGATAATATAATAAGAGCTTTGTTCTCAAATAAAAGATTTAAAAGGGCTGGGGGGGGGGTTACAAAGTTTGCCTAACATGTGGGGGGCCAGAGGTACAATCTCCAGTACTGAAACAGAAAAGAAAGAAAAAAAAGTAAGGAAAAACAGAGTTGTGACATCAAAACTACCTTTCCTTCTTGGTGCACATTTTTTTTTTTTTGCAGACCATCCTTCTAGAGCCTTTTCTGTCTCACCAAGCCACAACACTAAATCCAGAGTCTCTGCTCAGTGGACCCTGACAGAAAACAGGGCCTGTCTAACTTCATTCCATAATCTTAATATCCGTTCCCAAACACATTCCTAGAATCCTGTCAGTATAGGTTGGAAAAGTCATGTACTTCTTTTGGAGTATAAATTCACCTTTACACGGGTCACGCTTTGTACCTCATCTTTGGGACTTGAATTTAGGAATTTAGCAGCAATGAAGGCAACAAGGAGGAACTTGAGGAGACTCAGAAGTGTCTAAGCCAGGTGACAACCTTAGGGTACTCCGTTATGATTTCCTCAGGCAACATAGGCCCAAGTTCTCTCTGTGGGACTGAGAGGAGGGGCTGCCCTTACTGGCAAAGAACACTCATTTAGTCCCTATTTTGTCTAGGAGGAAATTCCAGCTCAGCCATTTGAAGGACTGTCTTGCCCCGGAGTTGTATGGCCTAAGTCATTGAGAGTCTCATTGCGAGTTGTCTCTAAGAACTACCTAGGTAGCCTAATCACCCATCGGCCTCAGCAACTGGTAGCAACCCTCCGCATTCCCTTAGGTCTCAGCTCTGGCTCCAGGGCTCCTGGGTGAGCACGGAGCCTGTTTCCAGAAGTCCCAGTTCCTAACTCACTGCTCCTGCCCACGCCTCTGGTTTCTGTTGCTCTAGGGTTGACATCTGCTCTCTACTTTACCAAAGCTTCTGAGGAGAAATACAAAGCTTGGTGTCCCGGGAAATAAGGGGTTGAGGAAGATGCAGGGAGCATCATACAGTTAAGTTTCAGTCCCCGATCACACTGTTGTGGTGATGAGGTGATTATATGGCTGGAATGCCCTTTCTTCAAATGCGTAAACATTTGACGTATACAAGGCGTCTAGAATTTCCCCCAGTACCGGGCGATATTCCTCCCTCCATGCCCTTGCCAGCCGTGGATGCGAAGGCTGGTGTTTGGAAGTTCGTAAGTGTTACAGTCTATGTGACTCCGCTTCTGGCGCTAGACCTTGTGTGTGACTTGAGGAGATGGGCTGGCGTCCAAAGGAAACAGGGATCGGTGGTGAAAAGCTGTATGGGCGGCTTGCTGGCTCTGCTCCCGCCGCTGGGCCACCTCAGCTAAGCTGCCAGGCGACTTTGGGTTTCCCTGAAGCGTTTGGGAAGGCTGGGCCTGGTTTCCAAAAAGAGTTCTTTCTCACCATTTTCCTTGCTGGGCGATTAGCAATTCTGCCCTTCCCACTAGGGCTCATATGCATTGGATGACTAAGGGGTGCACGCCAGTCTGTGGTGCACGTGAGAGAGACGGCCGTGAGTCTGGGAGGGTCCCACACACTCCATCTTTGAGAAGGATCTATCAGTCCAGCGCCCCGGGCTGTGTTTGCTAAGCCCAGAAGGAAGAAGAAAGCATTCTCTGCAAGCTACTAGAGAAAAAAGCGAAACCTCACCCTGCAGCCAGTCACTCCATTCTTTCCTTTGATATCCTTCCTGGAATGCCTGTCTGGTCTACTCTGTCCTCCTGACGAAATCCCACTGACTCACGGAAAGCCATCCCATCTTCTAGGAATCGATTCACCCTTTGTCCCCAAACCCTTGTTCCTACAGCTTTGTGGTCCTATCTTATCCTAGTGTGTCAGACTGAGCTGCTTAACTGCCTAAGTGCAGGAGTTAAAAATTAAGAAAACCAGCCTACAGTCCACAACCCCAGAGAATCTAGACAACCAAGAGGACCCTAAGAGGGACATACATGGATCTACACAGGAAGGAGAAAAGACAAGATAACCTGAGTAAATTGGGAATGAGGGGCCAAGAGAGAGGGCAGAGGGGGAGGGGAAGGGAGGGAGGGGAGTAGAGAAATATGTATAGGTCAATAAAAAGGGGGGAAAATCAAAACAAAACCCTTTAACCTTAGCACATAGGGTGGGGCTTAGAATGTAGGAATAACAGTGATATCTTGATATATTATTACTCATTATTTAGTTAGCAGGTGCCGGGCATATTGCTGGGAGCTCCTGTTGGTAACATCATTGAATCCCCACCACACTTTTATGGGAAACTGTTGGGTCTTATTGTAGGTGTTGGGTGGGGTGTATTGAGCTTTTATTACCTGCTCGAAGTCCCATGGGTAGTCAAGGTGGAGCTAAGATTTAACCCAGACTGCACCACATTTAAAGGACCACCACTTTCACCATAAGGCTATAGCATTTCAATAAAGTTTTTGAATGCATGACTGGATCTCTGGTGATGCAGAGTCAATCCTTCTCCTACCCCGAGCCCCGTATCTCAGGCAGGAGGGTTTCATACTGTGGACATTGGATAGTGTGATGGTGACTTTGGCCCAGCTTCCTCTCTTGTTCACGGCATCTTTCCTTCTATTTGGGAAGGCGGCAGGGTGGGGAGTGCCAAAGGTCTTCATGGTATGCTCAGATATGCTTAGAAAAACACCCATCTCAGCATCACGTAGGCATTCTGTCATGGCCTGAGTCATGGCTTACTGTTAACCCTGCAGGCTGGTGATGTGAAGTGAGGAGCACACTGGCTGGCGTTCATTAGTCTTAGAGGACCATCAGAGGACCATTCATTAGAGGACCAGGAGGATCTTCCCCCTGCTTTCCCTGTGGGTCCATATGTGATGTGGAAGGATTGGGGGATAGGGAGTATATGACGAACTCTGTCTCCTTCTCTTTTCCCAATTACAGATAAGAGAAGACACCTGGCCTGCTCTATGGATGCCATTACAAAGAGAATCAAGTATCAAAGGATACGTCTGAAAGCATGAAGGAAGTTGGCATTATTAATGACATTTCCCTTTCTTTCTTTCTTTTTTTTTTTTTTCTTTTTTTTTTTTTTTTTTTTTTTTTTTTTTTTTTGG